CGGCTCGGAGCTGCCCCTTCGATCTGTGCGTCTGCCTGTGCTCACAGAGCGCTTTGGGTTGGGAGGGACCTTCAGCGGACATCTAGCCCAACACCCTGCAGCGAGCAGGGACATCTTCAACCAGACCAGGCTGCTCAGAGCCCCGTCCAGCCTGGCCTTGAGTGTTTCCAGGGATGAGGCACTGACCACCTCTCTGGGCAACCTGTGCCAGTGCTTCACCACCCTCAGTGTAAAAAATTTATTTCTTACATCCAGTCTAGATTTATCGTCCCTTAGTTTAAAGCCATTACTCCTTGTCCTATCGCAACAGGGCTTAAAAAATATTTTCCCCATCTTTCCTACAGGCCCCTTTCAGGTACTGGAAGGCTGCTATAAGGTCTCCCTGTAGCTTTCACGAGGCTGAACAGCCCCTACTCTCTCAGCCTTTCCTCGTAGCAAAGGTGCTCCAGCCCTCGGATCATTTTTGTGGCCCTCCCGACAGGCAGCACTGGCCGTGCAGGGGGGGCTCTCTGCACCAGACCCGCACAACTCCAAGAGGCACCCTGACACTGACTCCAGCAGGCACCTCCCCTGCCCTCCCCCATGAGCTAGGTGTTTGGTTTCCACCAAAGGTAATAATGTCATGAGTGATAAAGGGCAGTGCGAAGGCTGTTGGCAGAGCAGTGGCAGTGCTGGCACAAGGAGACATGGTTCTCGCAGGAGTGTGCAGGGTTCCCCTTCAGCCTCACCTTTGCCCTTTGTAACGTGCCACGGGAAGAGACACCACACCAGCGCTCTTTTGCACAAGCAGTCCCACAGGGACACCAAGCTTGGCTGCCTAACCCCAAGCTGCAGCCTACCTGTGTAGTCAGGGTCAGATACTAAGATTAAAGAGAGGATGGAGCTTCTCGTACCTGAACCTGCCCTTACATTCATTTTGAGGTGTGAAGTAACACCCCAGAGTATTGGCAGCTTGAGTAACACTTTTCTGTCCCTTCTTCCGGGTTTGAGGCTTGATGTAGATGGTGGGCCTAGGATCCTTCCCAGGAAGGTTTCTAGTACTTAGATATATTTGTGGAAGCTTCTATGTCATGTGAGCCCACAGTACTTGGCAGGTTTTCAAAAGTATAAATTGTCAGGGACTGTCCAAAAACCCCATTTCAATAGCTCTTGCACAAACATTTCCACTGCTAAATATCCTAGGTAGGAAAAAATCAAATACTCCCACCTCTGAAAGGTAATTTATGAGAAGAAAAAAAAAAAAGGTAGTGCTGGGTGGGTGCTGTGCATGGTGGTGGCCTCCCCCGTACGAGAAAGATGTTGACAGTCTGGGATGAGTCCAGTGGAGGGCAGCCAGGATGCCTGGGAGGCTGAGAGCTGGGCTTACTTGCGGTGGAGAGGCGGCCACTGAAGGGCAGAGGGGATCCACCAGCTGTTTTCAGCTACCTAATGGGTGGTTATGTGAAGGTGGGGCCAGACTCTTCAAGGAGCTGCAAAATGAAGGACAAAAGTTGCTGGCCACAAGTTGCCAAGAGGGAGATCCCAGTTAGGTGTAAGGCAAAGTATCTTCACTGTGAGGGTGCTCAAATGCTGGCACAGGTGACTGGGCAAAGCCCTGAGCTGTGTACCATAGCTCTGGCGTGGACTGGCCTGGAGCAGGGAACTGGACCAGTGGCCTCCAGAGGTCCTTGGCAACCCAAATTCCTCTGAAATGGGATTCATCCAGACCGAAAGACCTCTCAGCTGAGACAATATCTGGCAAAGTGGAGAAGAGTGGCACCAGAAGCAACAGCTGGCTTGTGTCCAACATGCTGCCCACTGGGACCAGCCCTGAGGTTGTGGTCAGCAGAGCCGCTCCCCAGCCAGCCAGTCCACAGCCTTTATCCTTTCAAGGTGTTGTTCTGTCCCGGGTGCACAACTTTCCCTTTGCCCTTGGCTCTTTGCCTTTGATACAAGCTGAAGCAAGCCTTGTTTTAGGACAAAGTACAACAGGTTCTTATCAAAACCTCAGACCTTGTCTTTATGGCTGCATGATGACGAGATGACGTTAACGCCCTTGCTTTCCTGGGCTGATTTATTTTATCAGAACTAACGCAGCACATCTCTAAAGGAGACTTGTGCAGGACAGGCTGGAAAAGTGAGTCCTGGTGGCTTTGTGTGCTTTCTACCACGCAAGTAGCTGACCTGTGAAGAGAGGAGGTTGTCCCTTGAAATGTTTGCTTCATATTAAAGATCTAATAGCAAAAAATGGGGAAAAGGGATTTCTATGATTCTTTGCAAATACATGTGTTCAGATGATAGCGTCACGTAGTTACATGTCCCAAACCAAGCCTTTGCTTGAGTTGTTTTCATGGCATGCAGTAAGACTTCTCATTAGTGGATGAATGTTTTAGGCCTGTTGCAACACCTGGCTTAATTGGGTAGTGATGGGACAGGGGATGAAAACTGTTTCTGAGGATTCCTGTGTCACACAAGGGGAGCAGTGAGTGGGACCTTGCTTCCTGCACTGCAGATAGAGCAGTTTCCCGAGCTTTAGCTAACGAAGGACTTCCCAGTCATGTTTGGGGCTTTCATGTCGTTTTGGAGTCCAATTACAATGCAGGGGCCAAGCAAGTGAAGGATTAAAAGCTTTTGTAGATGTTGGGTAACTTTATTGAGTGCTTGTTATTTTAAGTGCCTCCGGGTTCCAACAGAAATAAAATAAAGCTTGTTTATACTGAAAAGAACGATAGCATGGCTGTCTGTCTCTCAAACAGAAAACAGATCTCGAGCACAGCTTGCTTCATTTGGAGAGGAGCTTGGCCAAATCTTCCTTCAGATGTACGCAAAGCCGCTGGGAATTCGCCACTCACAGCCAAAGGAAGGAGTTGATCTCTGTTGAATACAGCTATTGTATTCTGAAGGGTTAATCCTTTTTATTTATTTCTGCAATTTCCATATTAACCAATGATTGTCCTGCTAGGTTGTCCTCTTTTTTTCAGTGTTTGGGGCTTTAGACAGGAGACTGTTCCTAATTTTACTCAGTTTAACTCCGTTGACAGAACTGAAGTTAGGCTTACCAGGACTGAGCACATATTAAAGAACATTTAGTGCAAATGTCTGTTGCATGTGCAGAAGCATAACGGTTGCAGTTGAGATTCAGTCAGCTAGCCAAAGAGCAGAGCAGTTTGCTGCGAGCTCCCACCCGGACACAAACATCTCCTATAATCCAGCAGCAGAAAGGACCTTGTCCTGCGTCTCTGCCCTGGGCTCCCTGGCCGCAGGAATGACCCTGGTCCCCAGCTTACGCGCGTGAGGGCTGGACTTTGGGACAGCTAGGTGTTATCTTTGTCTTTCCTTACAAGGAGAAGTACAGGAGAGACACCTGTGTTGCATCACTGAGCCACAAGGATTGCAACCAATACAAAACCCTACGTTAGCATCCTCCTGACACTCTTAACCTTCGTTTTCTGCAGCTTTTTATTTGGACATCTGCCAATCTTGTGGAAAATGCTGAGGAAAGAGGAGTTTGTGCATGATCTTTTCCTGGAGTGGTAAGTTGAGACGCATCACTTACGCTGAGTAGGGTAGCCCTGTAGCACTGATTGGGAAATCAAGGCACAGAGGCCCTTAGTTTTACGTATTTATCATCATTCAAAAGGTCGATGGAGGAGCTAGAGAGAGAGCATTGATCTTTCTCTTAATGGCTTTATTCGCTGAAGACTGCAGTAGTTCCCAGTAGATGCTGCTTTGGTTCTTTGAGGTTGTCAGGTCTGGACTGTTATGTGTTGGTAGTTTGTACCATAATTCCATTTTTTTATTCCCTTCTTTCCTTGTAGGGCAGAGAAATATGGACCTGTTGTACGGGTTAATGCCTTTCATAGAGTCTCAGTAATGGTTCTGAGTCCTGAAGGAGTGAAGGTACTGTAGAATAAAGCCGAATCGACAGTGAGGATCGGCCTGTCCCTCTAGAAAGAGAGAGGTGGTGCCTGGTGTTTGGGACAGCGCAGTGCAGCCAGTCTGCGCCTGTGGAGAGGGCGGCTCTGGCAGAGTTAGAAGGATGAGGTGCTCTGCTCTCTGGGCTGTCCCGATTTGTTTTCTTCCTTGTTCGGTTGATTTACTCTGTTACCTTTATTTAAACAACAGATAAAGCAAGCACCCACCATTTTTGAAGAGCAGGCTTTCTGCAAGAGCTTAATATCTCGAGTGAGGCAGAAGGGACTGAATTTCTTCCTCTAAATCTGTGCAATAACCATAGAGTGAGAACTTGGGTCATTGCACAGAAAGTGCTAGAGGCATGCAAAACAAGCAAGCAGTGCAGGGACTGGGGAATTGGGGCACACCAAATAATTCATCTAATCTTCAGGCTATTGCTACGGGAGGAAAAGAGTGAACGTGTGAGTGGCTTTTTATGTTCTGTCTGAGAAATGGATTGTAGTTGGTATTCACTGACCTGCGATTTGATTTTAGGAGTTCTTGATGTCACCACAGTACCCAAAGGATCGGCTGGTGTACAGTCGTGTCTTCAACATATTTGGTGAGAGGTAGGCAAAACCCATCGGAAGCCACTGTAATCTGAAAATACGTGAAAGATAAATAACGCCACAGGCATGACACTTACTTTGATTCAGACCATTTACCTTAGCGTTGGGATTAATGGCTAATTTCAGACTTATGTAAGCAGCATGTACTAAATTATATGTCAAGTCAAATGTCTTCCCAGACAGGGAGGAGGTTATGTTGGATTTTTTTACCTTGATCATATTTTTTTTTCTCCCCCTGTGGATGCTGCGGGTGTTCAGTTAGTCTCAAAATAGTTTGTTCAAGACCATCACAAAACTTCTCACTTAGATTTTAGAGCACTGAATTATTCCTTAATGCATGGGAGTTTCCAGCTTCTAAACTCAATAACAGAAAAGGGGATTTTTCTCTGTTAGCCTGAAGCTTTTAAAAATATGATAATCCAGTTATGTTAATTATTTGCATAACAGCTGTAATGAACCAGCATCTTACTGGACTCAGCCATCCACACCTACCATGCCAAACATATCTGCAGTTCAGTCATTGTCCACAGCGATGCAATGACTGTGTACTCAAAGCAGCACAGTACTCCGTACACACAGGAAAAATACGAGAAAATAGATGTGGAAGAGTTATCTTTGTGATTACACAGGGTTCTGCTGGCTCCTTTGCTGAAAACTGTTCTTTTCCTTGTTTTCCTAAATACTAGGTTTCTAGGGAATGGCTTGGTAACTGTGTGCAACCATGAGCATTGGCACAAGCAGCGGAAGATAATGGATCCAGCTTTCAGCCGAACGTAAGGCAAAGATCTTTGGCATGATCTAGTGGTTATTTCTACTGTATTTTCATGATTCTCCCTGTCAATGATCCATTATTTGATATTTAGACAGAGAAAAAAAACATTTAATGCCAAAATCAAGTTTTACTTGGAGTCCACTGCACTGTTTCCATCACAAGTATAAATTTGACCAGACTTTCCCTGGGTGAGTGACACCCATATGAGCTTGGCGGTGGCAGAAAAGTCCCAGGGTTGCGTATCCAGGAGTGCGGCGATGGCTCCTTATCCTGTTGGAAAACAGACCTCGGGGATTTGCAGTGGGCAAGCCTCATCATTCACCTGCCTGAGGGATTCGCTGTGGGAGATATGGGGTGGTTGAGGAGTAGGAGGGTGGTCTGGTTTGCTTGTGTGTGCCTCGAGGCATTGCGTTCAGGGTCTGAAGATAAAGCCCATTTGCCTTGGCATGCAGAGGCCAAAGTCCTTTGCCGTGACAGCCCTTGTTTACATGGCAGGGAGGAGTGGGGCTGTTGTAAGAAGAATTTAGCTCGTTCTATCTGTTTGCTTTTCAAAGAGTTAAGGCAAATTTATTATAAATTAAAAAACAAAAATCCTTTACGATTTTCAATGGAAAATAATGAAGATAATTTTGCCTGAGTAAATATGTCCTCTGTAAACCCCCCATCACTCATTTTTATTAATTGTTCAGCTACCTGATTGGTCTGATGGACACTTTTAATGAAAAAGCAGAGGAGCTGATGGAGAAGCTAGAGGAAAAGGCAGATGGAAAAAAAGAGTTTAGCATGCTGACGATGATGAATCGGGTGACATTGGATGTCATTGCAAAGGTACCAGCTGTCCGCTTTCTTGTTTGCTCTGCAACTGGCAGGAAGGAATGGAAGTAACGGGTGCCGGCAGCAGGATGTGATCAGGAGCCAGAGCCAGGGAACAAAACCTTTACCCAGCAGTGCCAGAAGAGCTGAAGGACTAATTCTGCCACTTCCATTCGGGCTGAGCCACAGGAAGGGGCAGTTAGGGAAGGGTCTGCACAGCCTAGGTGTGGCCTGCAGGATGGGGACCCTTTGCAAAAGCCGTTACAGCCTCATATCTCCCACCCTCCATGCCAAAAGGGCACACCAGTGCTCATTCATGTATGGATGTTGTGTTATTGCCATTGCATGTCAGCATGAAGTCTGCCTTATGCTGGCTTTTCCCTGCTCTATGCAAAACAGTTTGGGATGAATGGAGAGTAATAGTAAGTTATTAATTCCCCCCAAAGCAGGAGGAAGAATAATCTAGATATTACCCTTCCCTCACAGCCTCCTGCAAGGCAGGATGTATCCTGAGGTGTTTTTAGGGGAAAAGGCAGCAGTGTGAGGCTGTCCTGCTCTGTCACCCCAGCCCCAGGGAGCCAGGAGGATGCAGCGAGTTGCTGCCTTTTTGTCTCCTCAGACGGCTTTTGGCTTGGAATTAAACGCGCTGAGCAATGACCAGACGCCTTTCCCGCACGCTGTGACCATGGTTTTGGAGGGAATGACCAAGGCGCGCATCCCCCTCATGCAGGTCGGTACGCACCTCGCTTCAGTCCTCTCTCCTCGCGTCCTCCTGGAGCCCCTGCTCCTCTGCGGGCGGGCCGGGGCTGTGCTGGGTCTGGGCACAACGGGGAAGGGGTCGTCGGTAGCCCTTTCCCTCCCATGTCCATTGAGATAAAATTCATTGGGGCTTTAAAACACTTGCAAAATTCGTATTAGTGTTTGATGCCTCCTTTCTGTGTCTCTGCCTTCTCTTCCCCCCTGCATGTGTTGTCTTCTCGTGTGGTTTTATGCTTTCACACCCATCCCTGCAAAAACTGATGTTTCTGCCATTTGTCCAAGAAGGAAGGCAACCTTCACTCAAGGTGGAGGAAATTGGAACTTTCTTACTGTAAAAAAATTATATTTTCGACCAAAATACATACAGTGGGAATTTATGGATGTGATCTGAAATATTTAAGCTAAAAATAATTCCACAGCTTCTTATGAAAGTTGTAGTTCAGGCTTTTAGAACTCCTGTTTTCCTGTTTGAGCCCAGAGGTGAGATTCTGTATTGCGTGCTGCAGTTTCTCTCCATGGAGAGCTCAGGAATTTTGCTCACGGTGCTCAGAACATCGGCTCTGACAAGGTAGGACATCAGCATGCCCAGACTGAATAGTTCTCATTTCAGCCCAAACCATTCACCTTGGGGACGTTCACTTTGTTCCGTGGAGAGCAGACATTTTTGTGACAAAAGTCATGTAGCAGAAAACAAGGTGCTTGCTTGAAAACTAACATTGGCGATATTTTTTACCAGCAAAAGGAATAAAATGACTGAAGAAGTTCTGTATTCAGTACATTCCAGGGAAACGGAAGCTGGTAAAGGAGGTCAGGGAGAGTGTGAGGCTGCTGCGGCGTGTGGGGAAGGAGTGCATTGACCAGAGGAGAGAGGCCATCCAGAACGGGAAGGAAGCCACGCTGGATATTCTTATGCAGATACTGAAAGGAGATGGTAGGGGACACCACTGCTGTTTCAGTTAATTTGTCTGTGGCGTGTTTTGCCGTGAGATCTGGGGAGGCTTGTTTTATGGGATCTGATCTTTGATCCTCCTTTAATGTCTTCAGGAGGGGTTTTTTCACACTGAAGATCTGCTTTGAAAATTCCCCAGGTTTTTTGTGTCCGGGCTGCTCACTCGGCATCCTGTGGCATCCCCATGCCACCTCAGACAAAACACGGAAAACATGGCAGAGCATTCTGGCTGTTCCATCTGGGGCACGGGGACACTTTCTAATCTCCTGTGTTTTTCTATCTTGACAGCTCTGGAGGAAACTAAAGACGATGAGAGCATTTTGGACAACATTATCACTTTCTTTGTTGCGGGTGGGTAGCCGTTCTAATGTTTGGAAATGTTACATGGGAAGCTGTACCCGTTCTTGGGCCATCTTACAGGGTCATGATTACTGTCCTCGCTCGCTCCGTGTGACGCTGCTGTAACTGGGAGTCACGTGGTTGGGAGGCAGCCGTATCACACTGGCGTAGGACCAACTGGGCGAGGTCTGAAGAGAGCTCTTGGTTTTCTCATGGGCAAATGCTGTGTTGCATCGATGCAGCGAGTAGTGCCAGGCCGGTGGTTTCCAGCCTGCGGTGCAGAGGGCAGCGCTGCCCGCTGGGGTCCGAGGCCGTTCCTCACGGGGTTCTGGCCCGCCCTGCAGATCCTGCTAAACCCCACTGAAAGTGTTTTTAACATATTCCACGTGTCTCCTTGTCGCCTCACCCACACAATTAAATGCTGTTCTTGCCTTAAGAGTGTTAGCCAGCGGTTGGCAGACGGGGCACTGTCAAGCCGATCAGAAACATCAGGGGCCGAGATGGTACAGGAGGTAAACAATGTAGAAAGATCAGTCTTGCAAGTCAGCAGGATTTAGGTTCCTAAGCAAGTGAGGTCAAAACACAGTTCTCTTGCAAGAAAGATGTTATTGCAACCAATACATCTTTGCAGAAGTCTGTTTTCTGTAATGCTTTAAAATAATACATATGCTTATCCATGAAAAAAATGAAAACTATCCACTTAAAGCAGGCATTTGAAAGAAAGATGGTTAGAAGCTTTGTTTTTCCTCAGAACCAGTAAACCTTTGCTTCTCGGAAGAACCGTGTGTCCCATAATATGACAGGGCACTACTGAACCTCATTGGCCCTTCTGTTACGGAGCTGGTAACCAGCAGGTGCCGTATGCAGGCGCTGCAGCTTGGAGTGGAGCAAGACGGCTCATACCTTTACCAGCTTTGTCGTGTTCTTGCCATTCTTGGAAGCTCCTTATGTAGAAATTATATCCCTTTTAGCATTTCCTTTAATTTCTACAATACTTGAAAATAAACATTCAGGGCCTGTCATTTCATGTTCACAAGCACACTAGTAGACCATCTTTGTGTCATGTTATTTCATACTAACCTTTAAACCAATTTTTTATGTCATTAGGTCATGAAACCACTGCCAATCAGTTGTCATTTACAGTAATGGCACTGGCTCAGCATCCTGAAATACTGGGAAGGTACGTGCACTCCAGTTTGGAAACCCAGCTCACTGTTAATTTCAAGGTGAACTTAACTATGAGGATTATTAAAAAGCTAAGATCAATTCCCAATAAATTCGAGCTTTTCTTCCAAAACGAACAGTTTTCTAGTCCCATTATATATAGAATTTTAAAAAAGCTTAGATGGAATTGGAATAATTAAGTGATTTTTTTTTCCAAAGCCTTTATACAAAGCTGGTCCTGAGTCCTGCCTGATTCGGCTGGATTGGACAGACATTGCTCCATCCTGATAGGAGACACAAGTTCGGGCAGGCTGGCTGGGAATCAGTAGGCACTTTGCCTGAGGGTGGGAGTCAAAGTCTGACTCAGTGTCTGGGAAGTAAAAAAAAATGTAATTTGTCAACTTGCCTAGCAAGAAATGGGCATCTGCAACTAACATTTTTTAATTTAACTGCAGGCTTCAGGCCGAAGTGGATGAAGTTCTTGGTGCCAAGAGAGACATTGACTATGAGGATCTTAGCAAACTCACCTACTTATCGCAGGTACTGTAGGAGTGCGGTAAAATATCAGTCAGAGCTGTCTGATGGCACTCCTGCCATCTCATGGGACTCCCAGGAGGTGCCCCACACTTTTAAAATTTTAAGAGCAATGCCAGTATTTGGTCCTGACAGTGTTTGTCCCCCAGCAGTTACTGTGAGCTGTTTGCAGCAGCCCAGCCTTCATAGGAAGGATGCTCCTTGAATTTCTTTCCAAAATCCCACATAATTTCTTCACTACTTGCTTTAATTATTACCAAGCTGGGAGCTAGAGTGCAGTTGCTTAATCTCTACCTGTTTAAGGTGAAACCGTAGCTGTATTTTAAGAAGGGTTTGCAACTTCAAGCCCAACCTGTGTGTGAGTGCCAGGCACCTCCCAACCTCCCAACTCTATTTTTGTTTGATTATGGTTAAAGTATTTCCAGCTATGATCTCAGTATGCACCATAAACTCAGCAGGATTTGAGGACATCCGAAGATAATGGCCATTTTTTGCAATTTTGATTTTTTTATTATTCAGTCTTGAAACCCTCTTTAGTCACTCAGGGTGTTGGAGGCAGAAAATTTGGTCCTAAAAGAGGTCCTGTGTACAGAAATGCTGTTTAGTAATGGCAAAGCCAGGGCTTGGCTACTCGCCAGCATTTGTGTTGCGTATCCTATTTTACAAGACGGGGAACACAAGTAGCCCTCGAGAGAGGCTGAATCACAGTCCTGGCAGCTACTCTCCCTCTTAAATTCCCTGTGATTTTAGTAGTCTGCCATGATCGTTCTTAAACTGCCCTGTCAAAGCGGGTGATGGTGTTTTACGATTTGCCATATCCCATCCCACAAATCGCTGTGCTTTGACAGGGGATACATTTCAAAGGTGTATTTCTCATAAGGAAAAGGCATCTCTGTGTGATTACAGAAACCAGCAGCTTTCCTTGGCCTTCTCCAAACACCACCACAATTACACCACTCCAACTAGGACGAGGTATCTAAGCCTTTCAGTTTTAAGACCGGTCACATGAGAGCCTCTCAGAGCAGACCGTTTACGTAACAGAACAAGCCTGGATCTGTACAGCCGAAATCAGTCACCCTTGTTCAGAGCCAGTCCATCACTGGAGTGTCAGAGGCCACGGAGCTCCTCTCCTGTCACTCAGGCAATTCTGAATCCTTTTGTCCATGCTTCTTTTTCATTAATCCACTCGTGCATATGCACCGTTAATTGCATTTGTGGCACGATGCTAATGTGCACTGTTAATTAGGTTTTGCTTTGGTGAAATAAGCCATTCTTACAGCTCCCTGCCACCAAAAGAACTGGGCTCATTCCATTTTTTCTCACTGTTCCCTATTCATTTTCCTTTGCCAGGTTGTTTTTTGTCATTTTGGTGCTCTGGCCTGGCTCAGCTCCCCGAGCAGCAGAAGCAGGACAAAGGAGGGAGCGGGAGCACAGTGCTGAAAGCGGGAAGCGAATGGGAGCAACCACCCATCCTCGTGGCCGCCGGCACCGAGAACGGCTCATCAGTGGCATGAGACTTAAATATTCCGTTTGAATTTGCTTCTCAGTACTTTTTCACTTAGTCGTTGACCTGACTTGAGGTGTTAGATCTGCTCAATGCATAGTATCTCTTGTGGTTTTTGCTTCTTTTTCTCTGTGTTTTATCAGTCGTAAGAAAGAACCAGGCCTGAAGGTGCTGACCTAGCCATATAATTTGTCCACAGGGGTCCAATGGAGATACACCAGCATCTGTTCCACAAGTCAAAAGCTCCCATTTAGCCAAAGCAAAAGGCCATAGGGAGGTAATTAATTTTATTTCCACTTCCTATGCAGTATTAACTAACTGACCTTTTGTGCTTTTCGCTGACACAGGTCTTGAAGGAATCGCTGCGGCTGTACCCGCCTGTCCCAGGGACGGTACGCTGGCTGGAGAAGGAGCACGTCATCAACGACGTCAGGATTCCTGCAAACACAACGCTCGTTGTGAGTCCCGTCCGCCAGCAGCAGCTCTTAGCCGCTGCGGTCGATCCAAGCGTAACGGGCCTGTATCAGAGGGCCAAAACACTCCCTGGGTGTATTTGTGCTGGCCTCTCTGAAATTTTGGGCAAAACTGGGGTACGAATTGGGACTCTGAATTGTTTTTGCCTTGGGAGTGGAAGGCAATTACAGTTTTGTAGCTGTGACAGCAAAGAGGCATTTCCAGCATGCTGCTCCTGGCTAACGCAAATGAACTCTTTCTTGACAGTTCAGCACTTACATAATGGGAAGGATGGAAAAGTATTTCAAGGATCCACTCACTTTCAATCCAGACCGATTTAGCAAAGATGCACCTAAGTGAGTTTCTTTTTACTCCCAGGTTATTAAATATGTAATAAGGAACGATTACAGGAAGAGATTTCAAGGGGGGAAGAAAAGTAGACTAAAACTATTTTTCCATTCCAGTATGAGTAATGCTAAGTCCTTATCCAAATGCAAATAAAGAGCAGTAATGTGCAGCTTCTGTTCAGAAGTTCTTTAGACCACGTGATACCTTACAAAAAAGGCCAGTACTGATGCTATTTAATGTTTATATTGAGGTCAAGGCTTTGGGCCAAAACCAGGTTGAATATTTGCCTTAGTGCAATACAGACTTTTGATGTGTGGCAGCCCTGACCCTGTGATGCGGAGAGTGTCTCCATGTTGGAGAGGGGACGGGGGGCTGAGGGACAGGAGATGCTTAAAGTGTCCCCACGTTAAAGAGAGGACTTGGGGCTGAGGGACAGAAGATGCTGTTCAGCCAGGTGGGCAGGCAGCCTAAGCTGAGTCGGTAGGCGGGAGTGCAATAGGAGGGACCAGTGGCAGCACGAGCTGGTGCTGATCCCTGCGCCTAACTGCATCGTGAGTCGGGGGTTTTACTCCAGCCTAGAGTTAGTCTGGTCCTCTGAACCAAATGGACCCTCGCGCACACGGTTCATGGCTGCCCAGAGGAGCAATGATTGGGTGGATCGTTACATCCTGGTGAAGGGTTGGAGAGCATTTAGAGGGTGCTTGGTATTCAGCTTTGGAGGAAGGTTTGCACGCATCAAAACAGCTCGGTGAGCAGAGCCATAGAGTAAGTGGAGATGACAAGGAAACTTGCTGCAGAGCTGTATTGCTGCTCTGAAGCAAAAAAATGTTAATAGAGATTGTCTTAATAAGTCAGCTGGGTGAGGTGGTGTTTAGACCATTTCCTCACTGCCGTGATGAAATATTTGCTTGTTTCTTTATAACCCACCTGTCAGAGTGAGAGTTTTGAACATTTTTCTTTGCAGGCCGTATTACTGCTATTTTCCGTTCTCGCTGGGACCCCGATCCTGCATCGGGCAGGTGTTTGCACAGGTAAGCAGAGTCCTGGAACGACCCTTCATTAGCGAGCACTGGGCCAGCTTGGGGTTGCTGGCTGGGGCTGGTGGTGGGGGACCAAAGGCCACCCTGATGGTGCATGGACCCTCTTACCTCTAGAGGGAAGGTCCCCACCATGCCCACGACAGGGCTTGTCTCTCAAACGCTGTCACGTGAGCAGACACACATACTGAACGGGTCCCGTGCCACCCATGCCCGCACACAGCCACAGTGCCTGCAGGGGAGGGGGCAGCAGGCTGCTCTGCCTCTGAACTGTCCTGGGTCAGCCTGCTTGAATCCAAACCCTTGGTGGGACTCGCAGTCAATATCTCCTTGCCAGCCGTGCTCAGGCATGCGGGGGGTGTGCAGGGGCTCTTGGGGACCATCCCGTGCCTGCAGCTGGCAGTCAAGGCAGGGAAAATGTCAGCTGGCAGAAGGGCACAAGCCAGGACTGGCACTGAGAAGGTGAGGAGGGGACTGCGTGGATGGGAGGAAGAACTTAACGAAGTGTACGAGCATGGCAGAGAGCATTCAGGAGGACAGTAGGAGGCCAGCTCTTCGGGTCTGTGCTTTGAGTTCATCTAAGCAGAAGTGCTCCAAATCTTCAGGTTGAAGTGTTTGGTTTTACACTCTGATTTCCAAAACGGGGTTAATGCATGAACACAAGGACCGATCTCGGTGCCTGTCGGTTGCCTTCAAATCCAGGAAGCCCCAGGCGACTCTGTTCTTCCTGCCCAAACTCAGCCGGCTGCGTCAACAGAGTAACATTTAACTTTAAAATCTCTATATTGACAAAGCAGCATGGCATAACACACTGACTTTAAGTAGGTTCGAGCTGTATTTGCTGTCACTGACGACGAGTTTGCTCTTCTTAACAGATGGAGGCAAAAGTGGTGATGGCAAAATTGCTGCAGAGGTTTGAATTCCAGCTGGTGCCAGGGCAGAGTTTGAAGCTGTTGGATTCCGGAACCTTGAGGCCACTAGATGGAGTGATGTGTAAATTAAAGCCCAGGAGCCCTGCAAGAGCCTGCCAGGCGTGACTGCTCGCGAAAGGAGCATGACGTGGTAGTGGTAGCGTTTCTTCCGATTTTGAAGATCTTCATACTAATCAAAGGTTAAATTTTTCAGGCCCCTTTAGAGGATTATTAGACTGCAATTTTTCCTAGGCTTCCTCATCATTTACAGCAGAAAACCTTAGGAGAGTCAGTCCAGTGAGCATCTTTGGTCTGGAAGTGTACCTGGAATTGCAAAGCTTGTTATTTTTCTGGGGGACTGTTTGGTTCTGACCAGACTTGGAAAAGAACATCCTTTCATTGGAGTATCCCTGGAGCTCCATACAAACCTACATTCAAATCCCAGCTGATGATACTTTCCACGAAGTTTACTTGTGACACAACATGGTCTAAGTAAGCCCTGGTTTGGGGAGTTTCCTACTTACACAATGAAACTGGAAGACAGCAGAGGGTGAGTTTTGGGCTGAACTTGGGAAGAGAGGTTTGGAGATGTTCTCTTGGTCAAAGCAGTTTTCCCATCCCTGCTCTAAATGAGAAGAACAATTGACAGGAGCAATCTGAAATAAAAATCAGAAACTGAGACCACTGCTTTTCCCTGTTGCTTCTTCTCATTTTTATTCAGTCTCTCTTACTTTTCTTCCAGTATTATTTGGAGGGTAGATTCCCAGTCCATGCTGTAGAAAGGGGCACTCCTGCTTCTTCCTGCCCCTCCCCACAGCCCGTGCTCATTCTCCTGAGACACTGTTCTTTTGGGGAGGTCTTCCTGGGTTTGTTTTAACCTGGATCGTTTTCCCCATCTGGTTTACCACAAAGCTACACCAACACTTGGATCAGATGGGTTGGAAGTGAGTTCCTGGAACCAAGTGCTTCTTAGAATGATATTGCTGCTGAAGAAATGCCTCTGCAGCTTGAGCCAGAGGCAGGAGGAGGTCCTGCACCCCCTTCTTCTGCATGTGTGCCAGAATTGCTCACTGCATGTAGGCCTGCAGCCTGGCTCTGCTAGCGAAAAAAACTACTGTGAAAATGCCCCCTTCCAGAAATGCACGGATACCTAGTATGAGGTCTGTGTTGGGCCTCGTCTCTGATGAAATACAGGGAATTCGAGACATTTGGTGCTGCCACTGTTGTTTTGTACCTTTTTGAATTAAAAGGGCAAAAACCTGATCTGTACACTGTTAGGTTCCCGTGGTGGTTGGGGAGTAACATCCCAGAGCTCTGCTCTTGTGCACTGTCTCATTCAGTGCAGCAGTGGCACAGCAAGCTGATAATGTTGGTGCAGCTTTTGATAATACAGGCAACATCATACAACGTACTGATCTGGCTTTTACCCAGAGGTGCCAATACCTATATTGCTAGGGAAAGTTTAGTCCACCTATCAGCAGACCAGCTCTGCAAGCTCTTGTGCTGGAAATCTGCTTATCTGTTCCTAGACATTAATAAATTCTCACTGGGAGAACTGAGGACTCTCCAGCTGGACGTGTGTTCCTGGGAGCTGATGGGGTCAGGAGCCGGATGCTTGATGCCAGTCAGGCTAGATGTGCTGGTGGCATAACAAAAGGCTGAATACTGAGAAGATGTCGAAGGGAGGGAGAGATCTCAGCGGTGCAGGGGGTGGTGTGTGCTGTGAATAGCACACAGACAGCTCGACGGACATGCTGGCAAATCCTGCTGTGGAGTTGTGAGATACCACCACGCCAACTCTCTGCTCTGCCCCACAAATGAATGAGTTGAAATGTATTAGTCGCACAAACACGTATTCCCTTCTGCTGCCTCTGCAATGGGGACAGGCACCTCCAAGGAGGGCTCAAGGGGGGTGGTAGCATGTCAAAACCCTGCAGCAAGTTTTGTCAGACATCATCTGCCCAAGAGCGGAGCCTCCTGCCTGCTCTGTGCTTACCCCCCCTCTGAGGATGCTCGTCCTGCTCTGTCTGCAAGCCCAATGCCATCCAGCTCTCCAGAGACTGCTGCCACAGGCCTTTCTCCTGTTCCTACACCCAAGAGCTCCTGTCAGACTGTCGCCTGTCAATGCTGGTCGCCTTCCAGCAGATGGCAAGCTCTCCTTGTCCATGCACCCAACGGGAGCAGCGCTCCTCAGCCTTGACAACTTCTCCTGGGAGGCAAGCTGTCCTGGCTCCTCCGGACCGTCACATGCCAGGAGCAGATGATGCCCTGTGATGCTGTGCAAACACCCTGCAGTGTTCTCGCGGTTTCATCCTGCACCCCCAGCCAGGAGCCGATCCCTTGTCTGCCGAAAAGAAAGGAACAGGTTCAGGAAACCTGCTCCGTGGGGCCCTGTATGCCAACCAAGTGCCAGCACAGGCTCAAGCTGACAAACTTCAGGCCAGAAGTGCCTAGGGAGACACAGCTGTGCCTGCCACGGGCTGTAAAAAGACCTGGGAGCTGCAGCTTTCTTGGACACCACAGAAAATGACAGTTTTTCCTTATTCTGGGGAAAAGAAACATTATTTCCCTTCTGGGGCAAACAAGCATCATCTGCACCAAGCACTCTGCTAGGGATCGTGGCCGGTAAGGCAAAGAAGCAGAGCAAGGTCTGTCTCCCCTTCCAGTGCTCTTCGCAGCTGCTTGTAGGGAAGTGTCATACCTGCTGCTGATTTTCTTCTTCTCTTTTTCCTGGCTCTTGAGCAAAGCAAAGAAAAATCTGGAAATGGCTGGTGGGGTGATTTTTCCCCGCATGGTGTGCCTGGAGGCTGGATGCAAAAAGGTTTCTCAGTTGACACGGAACTGCAAATCCAGGCTGCTCAGGGTGGCTCCTGCCCTGCACCCGGCAGATGAGAGCCTTGCCCATCACCAGCTCCTCCTGCTTTCACCCTGCCCCAGATCTCCACGCTTGCAGACAGATGGGAATAGTCTGGAGGCAGCCAGAAGCTCAGCTGGCAGGAGTCAAGGTACACAGCTGCCCCCAAAGGTGAGGGCACCAGGGGTGACACTCCCATGAGACTTTATTAGAGGTGTCTAAGTCTTCCTCCTGCTCTGACAGATGGCTGCTGCAGGTTTCTTTGATCCCTGTCCCAGGCATATAAACTTTTTGCCCCCCTCTTCTGGACTGATGCCCAGGATTTTTATGTATATGCTCGGAGTGAAGACTTCGCCCCCAGGATTTCTCCCCAGGTTTTTCCTGCTAACCCAACAGCTTGGTCTTACCCTTTTTAGATCAACCTCACAGATGAGAAACAGGGAAAATGCTGCTGCCTAGACCTCTTGGGACAGGAGGGATCCAGTTAAGGGACGTGCATCCAGAGGAGCTTCTGTCTTCCAGAAGAAGGCAAACCCCTTCACTGCTGGCATGGGAGAAGCTGATGCTTTCTCTCCCTAGCTATTCTGGAGCACAGGAGACTCCCAGTTTTGCACCTACACCTCATGTATAGACTCATCTACATGTCCAGAGAGAAGCCCAGCTAGCATTAGTGCCAGGATAGAAGTGGGAAAATCACCACAATTTTTCAAGAGAAAAATCTCATCCTAGCCCTTGCATCCCTGCCAGGAGAAGCTCAGAAGCATGGGATTCTATCACACTAATTGAAATTATAGCACAGCCTGGTATTTTCTGAACAGTGGACAGCCTTCTGCTCCATCTATAGCCTCTGGAGGAACAGATGTACATAAGAAAACATAAGATACTGTCCTTTTTTGCTAGAGCCAGGTATGCTGAACAGGAACTGGGATATTGCATTTGCTTTCAGGCTCACCTATCCAGCCGTGGCCAGCTCCTAGTTGCTTTCTTCAGCACAGCAGCTTTCGAGCACTGTGCTAGGTGTGTGCAGCACAGTTAATTACCGTATGTTTGGAAGACCTGGTGCTCCTAGGATGTGGTGGGTCGAGTGCAAGCGTGCAGGTTACCCATACACGCATTTGCACTTGGAGTGATTATACGATGTGAACTGCAACAGGAGACCTTCCCTGGCTCTAAGCAACATCTGCTATTGGGACAAGACAATCACAAAGCAGGTGTCCACAGCATGTACCCAGCCCATCTCCTCCACACAGCGCTCACATGCCAGCAAAGGCAATCAAGTCAGGCAGAAACTTCCTTCTGCTGACTTAAAAGAGAAGCATGGGATGGGGTGGGGTGGAGTGGAGTTGTGTGGGATGGGTCAGGCAGGGCTGTTGCACCTCCTCTCAGTTTTGCAATATCTTGTGTTCTCCTGGACTCAGGGACAAAAGCAGCACTTGCAGACGAGGATTAACATTTCCTTACCGAGGCAGTGGGTATGCTCTTCCTTGCTCCTTCAGTGGTATCAGGGACAACAGAGGGACCAGCAGGGTTAGGGAACTGCCCACAGTGGGACACTGCAATCCTGCCAGTATCTCAGGAGGATCATCTTAAGGTTCTCCACCTTACTGCCCATGCCAGTGCTTTGGTCTGCTCTGCAGGGAACTTTATGACATTATTTGCAATTAATCACTGTTTGTCTGTCTTGTGGTAAGGTTTGGAGGCTGCACTCAGGTGACACTGAAGCTGAAGTGGGACTCTTTACTCTAATTTACTCCCTGTGAGCTCAGTTGCTTGCTGTAGACTCACAGCCCCTTAACTGCAGGTACTGCGAGTCAGGGAGGCTCAGAAGATGGAAAATAAAATGACATAGGCCAAATCTAGCCAGCTCAGAAAACTTTCTAAAATGCCTTCCTTTCTTGCATAAGGTCTCCATGTGCAATGTTTGGTGGCAAGCCCTGCCCTGCCCGCCATGACCACGTGTGCCCATGCACAGGTCCATGCGAGGTAGCGAGTGTTGTTCATCTGTCTCTGAATCGGTAGTGATGAGTGTTCAACGAATTGGGAGCTACTGACTCGGGTACCTCCCCTTCAAGCCCTGAAGCATCTCCTGGTCTTGTCCTGCTCCACTGTCTCAGCAGGCTCTGGGGTGGACATGGTCAAAGCTATCTGCCTTCCACTGCGGTGAGCAGCTAGACTCCTCCCTGACGGGAGTTTGCTCTCTCTACGTTCAGCACTTCTTTGCTCCCTCCCAGGGCCTGCAACACATGAGCTCTGCCCTGAACTTCTCCAATGGTTTTGTACCCTCGGAACAAACCATATTCTGCTCCTCCTTCTGGTTCAGCCAAAGTCCCCAGAGCTACTGGGAGTGAGACAGTGCTCAGGAGCAGGACCTCCACCTCTTCTCAAGGACTGGTACTATTTCCCCCTCGCTCTTCAAAACTCGTAGGTGACATCTACATTAATAAAGGAAATATGCCTCGGACCTTTCCCTGGCACTGAGGTGGACGAGCACAGAAGAGCCATGTCCATCAAGCTCTCGTATCCTTCAGAATACATGGCCATGTGCAAGCTGTCTATCAGGAATGGTCTCTGGCACGTCTTGACTCCCAGAGGAGTTGTCAGGGGAGTGCTAGTGGCCAGTGGCTGCTCTAACAATGTGGCTACAGGGAAGGTCAAGTGCCAGTGACCTCGGAAAGTACCTGGCACTTTCACTTCTCCAGTGTGTACTAGTCTGAAGACTGTCCATCTTTAGAGCTACTCTGTGCTGGGAGGCTCACCCTGCTAGCAGGGCATTTAGTGTCAATACAGAATTTCTGCCTCCCCTCCTTCCCCTCCAGCTCCATGTCCTCCTTCTCTCAGCAACGCTGCTTTCTCCTGTCTTTTGCTCTGGAAACACCGCCACACTGCTGTCTCGTGCTCCAGCTGTCCTTCTCCTCTTTGGTCTATCTATGGGATTTGCTTCCTATCTATAATGCCCCCACACTGAGGTCCAGCTGAGGGTCTCGGACTCTTTACCCCGTGCCAGTGTCCCCGCTGGACTGGTGCAGGAGAAGTTTGTCCTCCAGTACAGACCATTGTAAAAATATTAAAGACCTGCTTCCTTCTTTTCAGATGGACTTTATTTAATTTAACCTCGTTCCCCTCCCCACCCCCCCCGCCCCTTTCCTCGGAAGATCACAGCACTGTAAGCTACAAACAGATGCTGGAGGATCTCCAGTGCCTAAGGCACCAGCAGCATCCCGTAAGAGATCATGCTGGATCCACCCTGCGGATCCCAGCAGGGGATACTGGTGCCAAGCACGGGGGAAGACTCCAGTTCTGTGGGGTCTTTTCAGCTCTTCTGGTAAGTAAGGGCTGATCCTTGTCCCGCTCACCCTCACCTTCCATCTCTTCCCTCATCACCTCCTCTCCCCTCCTTTGTTTGCACAGACCCTCCAGGGAACTCGAGGACCCTCAGACGACCACGTACTCCTCTGCTACACCCTCACTGCAGCACTTTGCTGTGTTTCCCATCCCAGGTGTTGGCTCCATCAGGCGAAGCCACCTCTTGTGCCATTGTCTGCAAGAAGCCTTGCACAGCAGAGCCATGATCTTGGCAGGAATCCTGACGTGCTACTAGAAAGCCAATAAATAATCAATCATTATTATTTTTATGTATCTGTGAGTCTTCTCTAATAGGTCTTGATATTATTATGGTGCTCAGGATAGGCTGAAATTAGATAATACTACACTCAGCTGCCATCTATTCCCTTGGAAACACAGGTAAAAATGCATTTAATAGCTCTCCAGTGACAATGAATATTCATTAATATGACGCAGATGCATACTTGATTTGAAAATAAGGACAGTAATTAAAGAGCTATTAAGGTTAAAAAGCAACAAAGGAAATTCAGCTACCAAACCAGCTGTTCTGGGATCAGCCCGTAACCTACACGTGCACGGATAAGCACAGACGGCCTCAGATTTTCTACTTTATTTTACGTATCAGCGGATCGCGGGTTCTGACTTCCCTCCCCAACTCCGTGATCTGGAAACATTCTGGTGAATTCAGAGTTTGTTTTTCCTGCTGTTTTACAGAGCAGCTGTACTCTGCTGCGGTGCTGCCGCTCGGACCCTATCTCACCCACTGCTTCGGTGATGTTGGACCGACAAGAAGCAGAGAGGAATGTTTCTGCAGGCTTTTGGGAAGGAAGCTGTCTATAATTGATTGCTTAATACTCATTATTTGTATTAAAACAGCCTTGAGGATTGCCAGTCATGCTAGCTGCTCTGCTATAACCTCTGAAGATCTCCAGCCCCCAGGCTGTGATGCTGAGGTGGGATTTCTCAGGGAGGTTTTGCACAGGTTCTTTCGCAGGGGTGGCTTCAGAAAGCGACCCGAGCCGCGCGTGCTCTGTGTTACGAGCGAGCTGGGAGAGGCAATGGCACGGCTGTGCACGGAGCGAGGTGAGGAGGAGCAGAGGTGTCACAGGGAACCCACAGAACTGCAGGACCGAGTGGTCATGACGCTCGCTCACAGCCAGGACAAGCCCTGTGTCCTCACCCACCATGTCCCGGTGGTCTCCTCCTGGCTCTGGCAGAAACGGGAGGCTCTGAGCAGAGCCGGGTCCCTCGGGGCCGCGGCAGCGGCTGGC